CCTCTCTCCTTATTCTCTCTCCGTTCCCTACCTGGGTGGGGGTGGGAGGAAGATCAAGAACATAGTGGTCATGGGTTTAATTGCTGATCCTGAGTCAAACTGTGACAAAGGAATTTGTCCTCCCTCCAGTCATAGGCAGGAGCAGAGCTACTCTTTCTCAGCTCCCACACCTCAGTGCTGCTGCTCAACGTTTTCTCCTTGCTCTGCTGCCAAGGACCCACACCCACCAACTCATCCCTCTCCTCTTCTGCACAGAGGAGACTAAGCCAGGGCTGCTGATAGTACATGCTGCCTGGGAGGAGAACATTCATCTGAAACTAAAGAAAGAAGGAGACACCCTCCTCCTCCCACCCCAAAACAACCTATCCTCCCACAACTGGAAACTAGTATTTTTGGCCATATCTCAGAGGCATTTCACTGGGTCCACTCCTCACTTAGTCAACAGCTTTTTTATTTGAGATGTTTATGGAGTCAAGAGGACACGTGGAAACCTTTCTAATATGTCAAGACAGCACTTCAGCATTTCAATTTCAGCAGTTAACAAGGAACATAGTCAAGCCTCTCATTAAATATCTCTGCAAAGCAGAGTTTCAGGATTGAGCCCAAAGTCCCTTCATGCCAACAGAAATTAAGTCAAAAGAAACAAAACACACTGGACCTAACGGGTGCAAAAACTCTGGATTTAGGAAGTGAAGCCTCAATGACAAAGGGAAAGATTTGCCTGGAAGCTTCATAAGTCAGTTTCATTTCAAGTTTCCAGAACACCCAGTACAAAATGTAGCCTCCCCAGCTCATCCGAGCTGAATTGCCACTGACAGACATTCAGTAGCCAAACACAGCAGAAAAATAATCATTCTGATCAAATGCTCCACTATGACTAGTCAGCAGTGAAGCTGCAATAAGCTTGTTCAGAAGAACTTGGCTCACTTTCCTACACATGCACAAGGAAAAATGTTTTCTCTATGAATATTTAATTCTCCCTTATTTTAACAGATGTTTTGCCATGTATTTATATCCCTTTTAGTGACAATTCCATTAAGAACTGCAGCCATTATGCATTGGAGAAGGAGGAATATCCTGAAACCATCCTGCTTCCACTGGATTATTGTGCAGAGCCTTCCAGTGTCCTGCACTTTCTCTAGAAGCACTTACCAAGAAGCTTCCTACCCACAACAAATGAAAAACAACCTAGAGGTCATTTTTACACATCTCCAGTGCCATGATGGACACAAGCAGGACACTGCACCCTGCTGCCCAAGGATTGTCTTTGCTGTACACATTTAACTGACCACCCAGAACCAAAAGTGTGATCTTGCTAAACTTCTTTCTGGAGAATCTGCCAGAAAAGCTCATCCTTCCTTTGGAGGAGCATAAAGGGGAATGGTGGAAAAGCCCAAGGAGGTCACTGGCCAACATTCAAGTGATGCCACCTGCACCCTCTGGTGCTAGCAAAGGGATAAAGTTTGTGGCTTCAGTAGGAAAAAGAGGTCTCCGCCAGCTGAAATAGGAACCATTACATTGTTTCAGAAAGTATGCACTTCCAGGAAGAGCACATTACTTACTACATTAGTGAGCTCCCAATTTGACATACATACAAGACAATGAAAATGGAGAAAGAATAAAAAGAAAGGGGGGGGGGGGGGGGAAGAAAAAAAAAAAGGGTGTTTTTATTTTCCTGAATTGCTGAACTTGCCATGGAGAGATGCCATCTCTACAAGCACATTGTTTTGAAGCTCAAGCCCCCTACTGTCAAGCCACCAGTGATCCATATCACAGGATCACAGAATGGTTGGGGGTTGGAAGGGACCTCTGGAGATAGAGACCAACCCCTTGTCAGAGAAGAACCACCTGGGGCAGGTCACACAGAAACACGTTCAGGTGGGTCTTGGAAGTCTCCAGAGAAGGAGACTCCACAGCCTCTCTGGGCAGCCTGGCCCAGGGCTCTGCCACCCTCACAGGAAAGAAGTTTCTCCTCATGTTGAGGTAGAACTTCCTGTGTTGTCACTTGGTGCCATTTCCCCTCTGAGGGGCACCACTGAGAAGAGCCTGGACCATCCTTCTTGACACCTCCCTGCAGATATTTATAGACATTAATACAATCCTAAACAGCCCCAAGTCTCTCAGCTTTTCCCCATCAGACAGATGTTTTAGCCCCTTCATCATCCTTGTAGCCTCCATTGGACTCTCTCCAGTAAATCCCTGCCTCTCTTGAACTGGGGAGCCCAGAACTGGGCACAATTCTCCAGCTGGGCTCTCACTAGGGCAAAGTAGAGAGGGAGGAGAACCTCCCTCAACCTGCTGGACAGACTGTTCCTCCCCATATGCAGGACTCTACACAAATCTTGAGCTGAGGACAAGGGTGAAAGCTGTAACAAGCACTTGTCCTCCAGGCCTAGCTGACAAGAAGGGACCTGTCACACACGTTCACCAGGGGGCTTACAGAAACCCCAAGATACAAACATTCCCAAATTCCCAATCCCACTGATTTGTAGATAAGCTCCTAAGCACTTATATAAATCTTGTGCTAGGAAGTGTTGGCTGCTGCAGTCAGAAATGTGCACACAGGAAAGACTTTTAAGTTGTACTGCAAAGCACTTGGCAAAAACTACCAGCTGCACCAGGCAGTTCTTCCAAACCAGAAAAGGTTACACGTTGACTTGTGCTTCCCATGAAGCTGCATTTGCAATGGACCTTGGGAGCCAAAACAACACTGACTCTCAGGGGAAAGAAAGATCAACAATAACAAAAAGTGGGAGACCAACTGGAAAATGGCTTGGGTCAGAAAAGCGAATTTCCTACTGATTCTTTTTTGGCTTTGAATCCTGAACCTTTGAAGACACCAAGACTGTTGGCATTAGGAACAACAGGATAACCCAAGGTCTGCCATGGAAGCTAAGGGCTGTTGTGCTCATCTCCACTTGGATTTCAACAGCATTAAGCATTACACATCATTACTGCCACCCAGTTCAGCACAGCTGGCAAGGGATCAGCACTCTATCCTGAGGCCCAGGATTTCAGGTGTGCCTACAAACAGAACTGGAAAATTAAGAGCACAAAACCCAACACAAACAAACAATCTCACTCCCCTCCATAAACTCAGTTCTAGTTACCTGGCGTGTCAGAGAGCGGGAGAGGGATGAAAGGATCAGGCACAGTCAGAAGAGAAGGGCTAGTGTCCATACTCAGAATGTCTTTTGTTTTTTCAGCTGGTAACCAGGAAGAGAAAAGGCAAGAGTGAAAGAGAGCAGAGAGAGAAGCAGAAAGCATTGAGCAAAATCTCAGCACAGGCACTGCCCAATGCTACAGAGTCCCTGCTCCAGCCAGACAAGAACAACGCACACACATGTACATTCAGAACAAGTTTATGTTGCTAGAGAAAAGAAAAAGAAAAACCCAACAGCTGTTACCACCCGGCTCTCCAAAACAATTTAACCCACAGATCTCAAAACATTCCTGGAAAGGGAAGTATTTGTTATGTTGCTTTCCAACAGCACAAGGTGAAATGCCTTACAAAGGGCGCCCAGCAGGGCAGCCCCATGTTGGGCCTCTTTGTCTGAAATAAAGGCTAAAGCATCTTGTCTCAAAGAGGTTTAGACAGCCTCATGTCTGTGAGGAAAGAAAAAGGGCTAAAAGTAAGTGGCCTAGTGTCAGCTCCAAGACAACTTCCAAGATTTTTTTCAGCATAGAAGGGGCTGCTCACAGCAAACCTTGGTACCCAAGTACCAAAGGTGACAGCAGACAGTGTTACACACGTGGAGGCCTCAGCAGAAAAGCTCCTCTGACCAGTCAAGGACTCCTGGCCTCTGGACCCAGACAGCACAACCAGGGCAAAACTTTTTGCCTTCACCATTCAACATATGAATTATGAGACTAACTTTGCTCTGCAGAGGATTTTCCCTGCTCACTCCTGTCTCTGCTGTTCTCGTCACTCTGCAGTGAGGACACGACCACTCCTGCTCTGCTCCTCCTTCATGCAGCCTAACGACTGCAGGCAGGGAATATGCTCCATGTCTGACTGATGTCTGAGTCCAGATCCCTTATTGCACACTACATATTTGACTTCTAACTAGGAGCTGCCTGGAACTTCAACACGCTACAAAGCTCTCTTGAGCACTTAAGGGACTCACTTAAATTCTTGCCTCACCAAAAACCTCACCTCAGCCTACAGGTGGTGCCTCCTGTCTCTGCTACACAACATGTGCATGTGCCTTCCCTTCTTTACTGGAATTCCAACCCTATCCCACAGTTCCCAGCTTAATTGCTGACAGTTTTACCTCCCTTTTAAAGAGGCTATGACAAAGAGTTTCCATTTTGTCTCCACTGCCATCCAGACCACTGCCCTACAGGACATACTCATAATCTCACCTGATCCAGCAGTGAAGGAAGAGCCACCAAATGCATCTGGCTGGGCTGAAGACGAAGCCAGCTGGAAACCTGGAATCAAGTTCTCTGTGGAGCTGCCCATCTTTTCTGGAGCCTTCCCTGAAATGCCAAACAGAGATTTAGGGAAAAAAACTTCCATTCTGTAGGTAGGTTGCTTACCTAGATTGTTTAGGACACCATTTCAGTACGTGACTTAAGCCCCTCCCTGCAAATCATAACGTCCAGATGCAGCAGAAGTTAAACTGTAGCTGTGACAAGCAGCTGATCAAGGCCACTGTAACAGCAAGTTAGTACCTCCCCCTTTGAGGACCTTGATCATTTAATTCCAATTGCTCTTAAAAGAGGAGAGGGAGAGAGAAGGGAAACTGGAAGGATTTAGCTCTTACAGGCCCAGCTGCATCACCATTCCGTGCAATCACCTGCTCTGTGAGCAGGCTGGGACTGAATCAGCTCTGTGAACCTACCATCACCCAGCTTGGCAAAGTCCTTGTTGAGCAGCTCCTCAGCTGTGAGCTTGGAGAAGTTGTCATCGTCAAATGGATTCCACGTGGAGACATCAGGTGGGTTATAGACATTCTGCTGTGAGGTCCTTGGGGAACCCGAGGGTGTGGTGGAAGCAGATCTGGATGTGATCACCACAAACAAAAGTCATTAATAACCAGTCTGAAGTCCTCTGGCCAGCACCAAGAGCTGGTCCAAGCTACTGCATTACAATTACTTCCTCCTTAAAACTCTCAGCATAAGTTATTGTACTTGAAAGCTCAAAAGGCTGGGACCAGTTACCCTTATCTACTCATAACCTGATTGAGCACCCTGCTGGGATTAACACAAGCATGATAACCACCCCATTTGAAACACCTTTCTGCAATGCCCACGTGGAGACCTCCTGCCTGCAGGCAGCACCAAGTTGGCCGGGTCTCCTGGTGAAGCACTGATGCTAAACAGCAAGTGTGAAGGCTTGTAGCACCAGGGCAGCTGGTGGAACAGCTTTGAACACCACCAGCTTTTGTCATCCAGAGGAAGGCCTTGGATTGCTTAAGTGATTTGCTTAGCTTCTGGGAGCATGGTAGTTCTCAGGAGGACTTCTGCCCTTGGGGAACTTCTTCAGCAACTTTCTGCCAAGCCCTATACCGAGTCTTGGGAAGGCAAAGACACACTTAGACCAAAGAGTCTGCTGCCCACCTTCATCCCAGAGCTTAGCCTAGGAAATCTCTGAAGAACCTCATCTGCCCCTTCCCTCTACACCCTTTGACACCAAGCGAACAGCCACCTACTTGGACTTGTTGAGACTGGCTTCAGCAGCTGCTGCCTGCAGGAGCTGGGTGGACTTGCTGGCTGGAACCCCAAACACTGCACTGTGGGTCACATCACTCAGGATCCTCCTGTGCCCGGCACGCTGCGTCTTGGGGGAGGATGGAGGGGTGAGAGAGCCCAGCTTCTGCCCCTGTGCTGCTGGGGGGGGGGTAGTCTGAGGCTTCTGCTGGGGCCTCATTTGTGTCTGCATCTAGGAAAGAAAGTGAAATGGTACATGCTTGTTTGTGAACTGCAGCCACAGACAGAAAATGGCTGTATGCTGGGGGATCTGACATTCAAGTCATGGACTGGGGATAGTCTGAAGGAGAAAACCCAATTGCTGGTCTATAGTATCTCAGAATCAGTACAAGTGCACAAGCAGAGACCTTCTCCCCTTTCTATGGTGCAGCTCTGGAGGCAAAGCCCCTGTTAGTGCTTTTTATCAAAGGCTGGGGCTGGTCTCAGAAACCTGCTCATGGGTAAAGAGGGTGAGATGCAGGGAAGAGGTAAAGACAGAAATCAGATCATAGTGTGGGGGAGTCTTGTCATATGGACACATGGAGTGGAGCCAGGTGATTAAGAGCAGTGCTTCTTCCAGCAGATCACAGGGTCAGATCTCTCAAGGAGAACAGGTCTTCTGCAGAAACCTTGTGCAAGCTTTCTTAGCTTTCTCTTGGGCAAAAAAGCCTCAACCAACCAATAACCAAGGACCACAGGAGCAACATTGGTCATTAAAACCTACAGGACAAGAACAGCACATTTGTCGTTGTCTGTAAGCCAAGAAAGCCCAGCTATAAACCCACTAGGAACTTCAAGAGGTGTCCTCAAACTGATCTTACTTTTCCATTACCTCAGTCTTGTGTTAAACTCGTAAACCCATAAATTCTTGAAATACTGTTTTGTAGTGATAAAACAACAGCACCACACTTCTGATGATGTGATTTTTCAGAGCCTGTCAGTCAGTGAGATACCATGGTTGGGTTTAAAGCAGAAAAACCAGGATGCAAAGAGCAGAACTCCCTGTTCCTCACCCTGTATCATCCCAGGCCACTTTTAACCAAGGAAGATAGATGAAAGGCTTGGAAATGCCTAAAGAGGCATTAAGAAAAGAGCTCCATCCTCAGTGTGGGGCAAGGCAGACAAGTGGTTAGATGTCTTGCTTTTCATCTGGCATTTTCAGGCAGCCTAGTTCACTGTAGCTGAGAAGCAAGCTGACCTGTCTGCTTCTGAGGCATCCACCTTACATCTCACTATATAGGTCACTGCAGAACAGTACATTTGGTGCTGAGAAACAAAAGGGCAGTGCCAAAATCTCCACCGAAATGAATGCAGAGCTTATTAAGCTGAAGTCTAGCAACCTGAAAAGGTTTTGACAGGTCCTGGCTTGATGTCTTCTGCTCAGAGAGCCTGGTCTGCAGGGACCATGTCTCACTATAATTTTTCAAACGTGCCAGCCACTGCTTTGCCCCTCCTGACTGCTGGAGGAGTGGAAAAGTGTCCAGATGCATCCAGCCTGATCAGCCTTCCAGGGATAAAGCTAATTTCCAATGTAGCTGATTTAATAAAATTAAGACTGTTTTTGTGCTAGTACATCACAGCAAAGCTCTTTAGAAATGCACTTCAATGCTGTGTTTCAGGCACTTCTCTGAAAGGAACAGGATAATAATCATGGGCCTTATCCAAAAACCTGTCTGCATGTACTGAAAATCTCCCACCAGTTTCAGTGAACTTGCCCAGGTCATTCAGCAGCTAAATAACAAGACCAGGAACACAACAGCTCCAAGCTCATCACTGACCCAAACAAGCTGAGTGCTGAAAATGAATATAAAAATCAAAAGGGGATGAATATGACAGAGCCTTGAGACACATCAGAGAGTAAAGCAAACAGCACTGCTCAGGTCACTGGCTGAGGGAGTTTATTAGTCAAATTAATTCCTGATGTCACTTCAACAAGATTAAGTAGGCCCTGAGTAACTGGCAACTCACAAACGAGCACAAACTGACCCTTGGTTTGGACTCAAACATTGTGCAGCTTAAGAGGTTTGTTATCAGACACTCTGCCTTGCAGCTACACAGCCTGATAGAACAAACAGGAGGCAACTCCTCTTGCCTGCATGTGGTTTCCTCTTCAACAGGCAAGTAGAGTCAGGGACATCCCCTTGTGCTCCCAAGGCCAAGCAAGAGCAAGTGGGATGGAGCAGAAATTAGAGGAGAAGGCAGAACTTCCTCCCACAGGTACTGCAGAGACACTTTGGCAACAGGGATCCTGCCCTCTGGCACAGCTCCCCTGCCTGTAACACTGTGGGCAGCTGTTCCCCTCCTGCAGACAGCCACATTTCCCATTAAGTAAAAGCACTTCTTTTGGATGCACATTCAGATGCTTAGTAAAGTGGGTGATTTATCCATTTATTTTTAGGTCTGAGGCTTTGAAAAGTCTCCTTTCCATAGTATTCATTAAAGAGAAAAAAGTTAACTCAACGCCAGAAGCAACCAGAAGGGCTGCTTGTACCTTCCTCTGCATCAGAGCCCTGAATACAAGCAGTAATACAGAACAGTTCTGCTGCCAGGTGCCCAATCCTGATGGTTTAAGTAAAATTTACTTTTAAAAAATTTTCCACACATCCTCTAAGGCAACATGACAGGGGAAGGCTAAAGAGAAGCTGCATTAAGCAGCTATTTATACCTTCTACTCATCATTTAGTCATAGAATGGTTTGGGTTGCAAGGGACCTAGATGATCACCTAGTTTCAACCCCCCAGCAAGGGCAGGGACACCTTCCACTAGACCAGGTTGCACAAAGCCCTGTCACCCCTCCAAGGAGGGGGCATCTTCCTGCTGCAGACCCAGAGCACAACTCCAGAGTCCAGCATTCAGTCAGCTGCACATCTGTGAAGCAGCCAGGCTAGTGCTGACATCTGGGGCTCACTGATAGTGCATGAGGGGCCAGCAGGCCCTAGAGCACCAATTATCTGGGCTCTGTGGGTCTGAGAAGCCAGCTGCCCTGCTGGGGGTCTCCTGGCAGTCAGGACTGGGCAAGAGAGCACTGCTCAGAGCTCCAAATCCCACTGCCCCTCTCCTTCCCACGAGGCTCTTACCGCTTGTTCCTGCGGTGCTGGCTGAGCCGCGCTCTGCTGGGCCTGAGGCTGCGGCGCCGCCTGGGCTGGTTGTTTCTGCTGAGCTGCTGCTGCTGTCTTCTGCTGCATTGCTGCCTGCTGGGCCATCATCTGCTGCTGCTGCTGCTGCTGGTAATAGTTCTGCATCAGCTGCTGCTGTGCTGGCGCTCCTTGCTGCATCACTGGGAACTGGGAAACAACCAGTTCTTGAGCTGCCTGTTGCGCAGCTGGGGAACTGAGGTACCACCACCAGACCTCAGGGCAGCCACAGGCATGGCTACAGCCATGGGCATGGTTACAGACACTGCAAGTGGCAAAGCAGTAAATGGTTTGCATTGCTTGGAGACCATCTGCAAAGGAGTGGTGGGCCTTCTGGTCTAATGTTTGATCCTGTGTTCCACCTGCCCATAAGGGGCTCCCATGGCACAGACTACCCTGTGGTCCCACTCTCCTTTCTCCATTTTCATCAATTCTAAACCTTCTCCCAGCACAGGAAGACTCCCTGGTCCTTTGCTTCCACTCTTAAACACACTTTAGCAGAGATCTGTGTTGCTACAAACACCTCAGTGAAGCACACAAGTCTATCATCTAGAAACATCCCATCTAACACATCATGTGTTCACAGGCCTCCTTATGACCACCAAAACAGACCCAAATCTTACTATTAAAAAGGTACACCAGGCTTCCTGTATCACAAAGAGAGAATAAAGAAATGACACCCCTCTGCTCATCAGTTGAGCACTGACCTCAAGACCCTGAAACACTAGGAGCTGTAAAATTTTAACCAGCACTGCTTGGTTTATGCCTGTATGCAACAAAACTGTATCAAGGCCTTCCACATTGACAATTAAAAATGCCAGCCTTGAGCAGGAAAAAAATCTTGCTAAAAAACTGGAGACACTTTGGAAAATGCCTGAAAACTGCACCTACGCCCCCTCCAAGAAAAGAGAGTTGCCATAAATGCAAAGATACAGCCTTGCAGGCCTCTAACACAGGAAGCACACAATGAGCATGGCCACGCACACTGACCTGCTGAGCCTGCATCATCTGCTGCTGCTGGTAATATGCAGCCTGTTGCTGCTGCTGCTGCAGAAGCTGCTGCTTCAAGAAGAGCTGCTGTTGATGCTGAGGTGTAGCTTGGGGCTGAGTGGAAGGGACCTGGGGCTGCGCCTGCGAGGTTTGCTGTGGAACAGGAGCCTGCTTGGCTGGGGGCTGCGCTGGAGCCTGCTGAGGTGCTGCTTTCTGCTGGGGGACACTGGCAGGGAGCGAGGGCTGACCACTGCCCAGGGCAGCAGCTCCTGCCACTGGTAGGAAAAACAAATGCAGATCCATTAGATCAACGTGCACCACAGCCCTGTGGCAGGCAGTGCTGGAGGACACCACACAGAGAAGGTCACTTCACCTTGTGGCTGAACGGCCGCTTGAGCCGTGGGTCTCTTCCTTGGTGTCAGGGCTGGCTGAATGGGTAAGATTCCAGGGTTGGGCTGAGTCTGTCCTGCTTTAGGCCTCTGGCGGGGTGCTATGGATGTTTCTGTCGTAGGGATGGGGTCTGTCAGCCTACAAGATACAGAACAAAAGGAAGAGCAGTAAGAGGACAGTCTTGGTTACCCTGAGAGTTGGTGCATGCAACACACAGCAGGGGTTTAAGAACTCATCCACACTGTGCCAGCAGGTGAGTAAACACCTGTGGGCATCCAGACACATGCTCAACTCTTTCCAAAAAAACTGCAAGCACAGTAAAACTCAATGAATTTATTCACTACAATTAACACACAACCCATCATTTTGATTTGTCAATTGTGGCATCTTCTCCTGTTGGACAGCTGGATGTTGTCAAAATCACTCAACACATTCAAATACTTGCTACAACATATTGTTTAAATCCACTTAGAATTCTGTATGAGCAGAGGAAGGACAGAATGAATAAGCTTAAGAGCAGCTGGTACCTTTGGGCAGAGTTATCCAAATTGCCATCTTTAGAAGTACCTTAACATTAGTACATCTACCCCAGAATTGTGTCACTGGACCTCTCCTGATCTCTGCTCAGTATCTACTGAGATCCAAAAATGCACAGTAAGAGAGCCTAGAAGCCAGACACCACCCTGCCCTGTGGATACATTTGCTTGGGATAAGAATTTGTTCTACTAATAGGAGGGTAACGGCTCTCAGTGATAAAAACAACAAAGCAAACTCCTGGGACTGACAGATCGGAGGAGAGATACTCCATTTCAGAGTCTGTTGGCTTTGAGTGCCCACTGCTGTACTGCTCACTCCGCAGTAAAACAAGGTACAAGTCTTGTACAACAGAACTACTAGAACTACTGGGAACTGCTGGAGAGAGTCCAGGGGAGGGAAACAAAGATGACTGGGGGACTGGTGCATCTTTCTTAGGAGGAAAGGCTGAGAGAGCTAGGACTGTTCAGCCTGGAGAAGAGAAGGCTGAGGGGAGACCTTATCAATGCCTGGAAGTATCTCAGGGTGGGTGCAGGAGGATGGAGCCAGACTCTGCTCAGCAGTGCCCAGGGACAGGACGAGAGGCAATGGGCATAAACTAGAACGTGGGAAGTTCCATCTGAACAGGAAGGAAAACTTTATGGTGAGGGTGACAAGGCACTAGAACAGGCTTCCCAGGAAGGTTGTGGTGTCCCCTTCTCTGGAGATGTTCAAGGCTCCCCTGGATGCAGCCCTGTGGGATGTGCTCCAGGGGATCCTGCTTTAGTGGGGAGTTGGACCAGATGATCTCTAGAGGTCCCTTCTAACTCTGACAACTCTGTGATTCCATGAATTCACAACTGTTCATTACATTATTATAAGCAGAGCAACCAGCAGCAGGAGAGGAGAAAACCCACAGCACTACAGTGGTTTTCCCACTCATTTGGCTCTTCAGATGCAGACTTCTTGGGCTTGTGTCCTCCCCACCCCAGAAGGGGACTCTTGCAGATAGCACAGCAGTTTCCCACAGTAATCACAAGGTCAGGCTGTCATCTGCTGAGGGTTACACTCAAACACCTACAGTCCCATGCAGCTTTTCAGCTCCCTGTTCTTTGGGCCAGTTCCAGGCCCACTACAGGCTCTCCTGACTCTGCTCCCAGGTACTCTGGGTACTGCCTCTGGATGGATGACACAGGAGCTTCACCCAAGTGCATGAACTCCAAGTGTTGCTCTCAAGCAAAATCTTCAGAGGGAAACAGAGAGCTGTTGAGTCATGCTGAGTACTGCCCAAGCCCCACCCCCTCCATGCAGGAAAAACTTCCCCTCTTATCTGCATTTTCTGCCTTTCAGATCAATGGTTATGTCCTTGAAGCAGAAGCCTCAGGACTGCAGACTTTGTCTCCACATGTAAATGCAAGCCCACCAGGAAGCAGCTAAATGAACCAAGCATCATTCCTAACAGACAGCAGAAAGACAGCAGACAACAAAGAGAGGGCTGAGCAGAATGCAGATGTGGTTACCTGGCCTTTGGTTGACTCTTCTTTGCAGCAGCTTCACTTGCTTTAACCGGATCTGGGAGTTTAGCAGGGATTGGAGAGTTCTGCAGACCCCAACAACACCAAATATATTTTGAGGGCAAAAATAGAGTTGGAAATAATTTGCAATGAAATGGGTAGATTGGGGGATCCCCAAAGCATTTATTCCTCCTGCTGGACACAGGACAAACCACTCAATGTCACAAGACGACAGTAGTTTGGGGAAGTCTTTACAAGGGAAAAATACCACTCAGCTTTTTGACCATTTACTACCTGTGGAACCTGAACATAAAGCTTCACAGCACGATCTGGGTATTTTTAAAAGGCAACCTGGGGACAACAGCAGCAATGCTCATTAATACTGCTATAAAAAATACAGGCACAATAATACCAAAACCACGTCTTATTCATAGAGAATATTAAATAACCACCTGAACACAGGGTGGAGGGGGAGCGGGGGGGGAACAAGAAACAACAAAACCTGGAAACAACAAAATGAAATGTCATGGGGCAGATGTCCACAACATTGAGAAAACACTCTTCAATGCTATTTTTCAACTGAAGTCTATAAAGATACATTGTGAAGGGGCAGATGGTTGTGTAAGGTCTGACTTCCAAGGCAAGTTGGCCAGTCCAGGCACAAATCCATTATGGTTAAAACCAACTGCAGCACAAATGACACAGGCTATAATGAATGTGCCTGGAAATCAGATGGGCTTCACAAGTGTGGCCTCATTTTCCACATCCACATGCACAAAGTTTCCTGGTTGGCCTTGCACTAGTAACTGGGTGGGGATGCAAATCAGGGACAAACAGAACTAAACAACTTAGGGAACAAACCCCTGTGCACACCCCCCAAAAAAGTCCCATGTCAAATAGTGCTGGTAATTACAAAAAATATTTAGTAATTGCCACCCCCAGTTACCACCCACAACACCCCACCTCAGCCCACTCCTTTGCCACTCACCTGAACATTCTGGACTGGGCATTCCTTCTTTGCCAGCTTGAAAGCAAAGTAGGAGACCTGATAGATGTCAGGTCTCTTATCAGGGTCTGGCTCCAGCATATATCCTTTAAAAGACAAAGATGTTAGTATCAGAGCAACAGAACAGACAGACCCATGTGAGCCATTTGGGGCAGTTTATCAGCCTAGATATAAGGAAGCAGATGCTTCCAGGGTGCCTCTTTCCAAGCAACCAGTCAGTGAGGCTGAGCTGCTCATCAGGGGCAGCAAGAAAGGGGCAAGACAGACAGGATGGACTGGAAGGTGCTTCCCAACACAGCTATGAATACTTGGCAGCTGCTATCAAAGGCTCTAGGGTAAGGAGGGGAAATGCAGCCTGTCTGCTCAGGGAATAGCATCAGGTTTGTCTTTTGCAAGTGAAGTCACAGGAAAACAGCTGAGTCCAGCCCTGGTGTGTCAGTGGGGCAGGAGACAGGGCAGCCACGTCCACCCCTGCCTGAGCAGAAGCAAAGCAAACACCAGGCTGCTCTGCAAATGCATCCAACTCTGTGTTAGTCAAGACTGTGGCTAGGAAAAAAAAAATAAATAAAAAAAATCAAATGCTGTGCTGAAAACAAGAGAGCTGCCCCAGCTTTGCCAAGAATAGTGCATTGTGCCCTTAATTATACACTCATTCTAGTCAGTGGGTTATTTATAAATCATTTCAGTTCTGTTTCTCAGTTCACAGAAGATTAATTCTTATCACTAGTCAAAGTCACTGTGGTTCTTTTCAGCTCCTTATCCAAATGGATTTATTACTGGAGAAGTAAGTTTCTGGATAAATAGGCTTATTGTGCAAGTTTCTGCAGGACTCCTAAACCAACTGGTTTTCTGTTTTCTTGCCTTTCCACAGGGTTCAGTCCAGCCCAGCCAATCAGAAATCTGTCACAACTGTCCTTCAAAGAGTGATCTCCAAAGCTACTAAATGATCACTTTATTCACCCATCTAAGCAAGTCTCTCAAAAGAAGAGAAACACCGTTTTAATGTAGGAGCAGGGGATACACAAAGGAAACATCTCTGGTTTTTTTTAGCACTATGGAAGCAGCTAATGCTGCTGTCACGGACACTCACGGATGAGGCAGTGCATGTCTTGGGAGTGCCGAGAATTATCTGGAATGGTGAAATTGCCATCACAGATTGCCACCTGACTCTCCCCAAATGGCAAGGTGAAGTAACACAGCTTGTACAGTAAACAGCCAAGAGCCTAGAGAGAGAAGAGAGCAAAGGATTTAACAAACTGAAGCAAAGTAGGGAATGGTACAATTCAAACATAGTTGTCAACAAGAGGGAAAGCGAGTGCTTGAGACTGCTCTGCTGCAGGGACCTGCATGTCAGGACTGCATTTTACCATCTTGAGATCCTGTAATCTGGGGGGATCACAGCCCCCCAGCTCCACATACCACTACTCAGAGTGTAACCCTTCATGTCACTGAACAAGCAAAGCCTGTTTCCGCCACATGCTGGGAAGAAAGAGCAAAGTAACAGCAAAAATAAATGGTGACCATCATCGTATATACATTCATTATGACCAAGAAAAATCCAAATGGCTTCCAAGCTTAAGTTCAAACAACCTTTGAACTGTTATAAATATGTACCAGGGAGAGATACACAGAGAAGTCTGCAGGCTGATAAGTTGCATCACCCATCCATCTATTTCTGTGCTGCTTGACAGCAAGAACCACCAATTTCAGAGGAAAATACAAGTTTTGCACAAAGGGCTAATTATGAAACACTCCCACCATCTCCAAGGGGACAGGGGGAAACATTTCCCAACCCTAAGCAACTCATCAGCAGCTTATATCTTTTGTCACAGGATTTCACAATTAAAACTGCACTCCAGCTGAAAACAACCTCGATGAGATGTAAGGAGAGGGAGATTTCACATGGGGTCAGGGCTCAGCAGGCCTTGAAGTGGAGGCCCTGGTGTGCTCAGTACTTCATGCTCCCCTGGGAATGCTCAGTGAGTCATGAGAACAGAATTCCCTCCATGCCAGGAAGGAGAGAGGCTTTGGGTCTCCTCTCTACATTATCACAGGAAGGAGTGCAAATCCTACCTTCTGCTCTGACTGCCTTGGAGCCCCTGACAGTCCCTTCCAGCTGTTACAGCTGTGACCTTCCCTCTGTAGATCTCCAGCAGCCAGGCA